ATTGAAGCCCCGGAAGTAATGTTTAGGGTTTTGGGGGATCCATAGCTAAACTCCAAGTGTACAGACAGATAAGCCCGATTCAGCGAGGGCTGCTCGACTCGCTTCTATCCGGATTCATGCCGAACTTCTCCCAAGCTAGTTTTCTCCTCTCCTTTCCTTTTTTCTTCAACTCCAAAACCCTAAACAAAGTGTTTTGAAAGATTTGCCTCTCTTCTAGCCGAAGAAGCTGATTCTTTGCCCTACACATCTCTCAACACCGAGAAAACCATCAGTAGTGCCCAAGTCTTAAGGGCGGTCAAAAATGGGGTGTCTACAGTTGCCCCTCTTTGACAGAACTCGAAAGTCATAACAATGACGGGAGTGAATGTCAAAGCCCAGAGACGACCCATTTTTGACAAGGCTGAAGACTTAGACAAACATGCAAGACAAACAAGATATGCGCCCGAAGGCAGGGGCAAAATGCATGACAATGCACAAAGCCGAACATAATTTATGATCATGCAAAGAAACATAGGGACGTATCCCGGTGTTTCGGAAAGGTATAAGCATTGGAACGTATTGCAAATGCTCTTAACCAAAGAGGGAGAAACATAGGGACATATCCCGGTGTTTCGAAACGAAGGAGAAACATAGGGACGTATCCCGGTGTTTCGAAAAGAAGAGAGAAACGTAGGGACGTATCCTGGTGTTTCGCAAGGAATAAGAAACATGGGGACGTATCCCCGGTGTTTTGGAAGGAGAGACAAAATAAATGGCCGATCGGCAACAAAGAATGCCGATCGACAATATATATTGCCGATGGCATAAAATCACTGGCCGGTGGCCTCGAGCCATGGCCGGTGATGTGTGGGGATGCCTCACAAGGCATTCCCTGCCCTTTCAAGGCAAAACACCAGTGTTTGGTGCAAAACCAGACACAAAACAGTTGAGTCGAGAGGTCCTGAGGCAAGGCGCGTAGCCGAGACCTCCGGGAACTCAAGACAAACACGAACATGGATGATCACCGAGTGTTCGAGCGGTGACGTTCAAGTCTTGACGACGGTCAAAAATGGGGTGTCTACAAGAGGACCTTCCCTTCCATTTTTTAGAGTTAAACATTTGGAGCAAAATTATCTCCCTTTATTTCTACAATTCTCTCTCTCTCTCTCTTGCAAATTCTTAAACCTTTGCCTATACACTCTAAACCAAACCTTATGGTATTTGAGCCAAGGCACTTTTGAGCTTATTTTGAGCTCTTGAGGGTGTAAAAGTGTTGGTTTGACACTTAGAAATGGTTCTCCTCTTTAAAAGGTATAAGTCTTTACTTGTTGCTTTGCTTTATTTGCTACTTTGCCTACAGTTTTTACACTATTTTCGGGCTGTTTATACTCTATATTTTTGGGATAAAACTTGTAGTTTAAGGTCAATAAGGGTGGAGGGGTGGCTCACCATTTCTTTCACCTTGCTTCCTAGGCCTTTACCCTTGTATTTCCCACCTTGTTGTCAACCTTTTTTGAGCTTTTAAATATTGATTTTCAGAGCTTTTTCAGTGACTAAAACCTTGTTTTGAAGTCCAAAAATGGCGGGGGGTAGCCTCCCCTCCTTATGCTTTGTTTACTAGCTTACATAGCTCCATGTTTTAGCTTATTATTCTAGCAATTTTTGTCCTAATTTCAGCATATTTTAGGACTGATTTAGCACTATTTTAGGACTATTTTTAGTTGTTCATTGCATTTGAGCTTTGTATTGCATGCTTGTAGTGTAATTGTCCTCATAGGTTTGGTGGTTTAGGCCTTAGCCACCAACCTATTTGAGTTGATAGTGTTTATTTCTTGTTTTCCATACTTGTTTGCACCTCTAATCACTTGTTTAAAAGGAAGTAACAAAATTGGGACTAAAATGATGCAAGATAATAACTTGTTTAGGGTTCAATCAGACGTTTATTGAACCCTTGAGTTTTGAATCGTTTCATACTTATTCGTGATGAAAACGGTTCAAAAGTCATTGCCAACCACTTCCTTTGATCAATTCATGATAGGGAGGAGGTTTGTGAGTCTTTTGTGTTGCATTTATTGAAATTGTACACCTTTGTTCATAGGCCATCATGCAATGAAATTGCATCGATTGATGGCTTATGAATTGAGTTTACCACTCCTTTGAGCAGTTTGATGATAGAGGAGGTAAAGTGTACAAACATGCCTTGAGAATACCGTGTTTGTGCTCTGTATGCTTTCTGTTACAAAAGGAAGAACGAAGCTTCAGTGGCCAGCAGGCCACTTTTTGTGCCCGACAGGCCACTATTTCTAGACGGTAGGCTACTAGTTGTGGCGGGTTGGCCACCACTTCTGGCCTACTGGCCACTTTTGTCAAATTAAGCAACAACTTTTTGGAACAAAATAGAGCAGAGGCTGAGGTGAAAAGATGTTCTATCGTGCAACAGAAGCATTCTGGCAACAAAACAGTGTGCTTTTCGGGTGGAAATTCACGCATGCATGAGCATTCCTCGCTTCTCGGGGCTGATTGATTAGCTTAGTTATTTATTTCATGTTGTATTTGTGTTGTAATTAAATAATTAATCCTTATTTTTACTTAATTAGTTAGTTAGTTAATTAATTGGTTTTGTAATTACTAGCTAGCATAGTTAGTTTATTCGGTTTGTAGTAGTTAGTTTATTTGTTTTGTAATAGCTTGCTAATTAGCTTAGCTAGTTAGTTCATTCGGACCCTCTTGTGCGAAGGCCAAAACATGTAATAATGTGTATGTCTTCTAACCCCACGTCTTTCTCTCTTTTATTTATTTGCTTATGACGGTTAGTTTTAGAACATCATTTTCCTTTTAGCATACTCCATGTTTGCATCCATTTGTCTTGCATGCATCGTGGCTCGGTTCATCATTCTAACGTGCATTGTCGTTTAAATACTTCGTTGAATACGTGTTAAAACGCATGCTATCAAGTTGATTCACATGACATAATTAGTAGCCAAGCCTATTAGTTGCATATCGCATGTGTTGCATTGGCCATTGTGCATTAGTTTGGAGTATGGATCTTTTCTAACTCTTTTGTTTCTTTTGGCTAAACTCGAAGTACTAGGTGAGCATTTTTGTACTTTAGCATATGCTTCCAAGAGACAAAGAGGTCTCATGTGTCATCAATATTTGTACAATCGTTATGGCCGGATGAGGATATGAAGTATATGGTAATTGATTCTGTAGGAAGCGTAGGGGGATTGTTGTGCATTTGGAAGTCGTCAGTGTTCCAGCTTTCTCAGTGCTACAGGATAAGGCACTGTGTTATACTCTTTGGGATACTTTTGCCTAATTTTAAATGTGTACTGGTCAATATGCATGCACCAAATGAGGTAAATGAAAGGCATAAATTTTGGAGTGTATTACATAGATTGAAACCGGTGTTTAGTGATCCCTGGTGTTTAGCTGGTTATTTCAATGAAATTAGGAATATTGGTGAGAGAAAAGGCTGTTCTAGAAGAGACAAAGGGATAAAGGAGTTTAATCAATTCATTGAAAATTTAGAGGTTGTTGACTTACCTATGATGGGTAGGCAATTCACTTGGTGCAATGCTAGTGAAGGGGAAAGATGGAGTAGGATTGATAGAGTATTGTTGTCAACTGAGTGGCTGGAAAGGGTTAACTTAAAATTATGGGGTCTGAAGAGAAGTGTGTCTGATCATTGTCCACTGTTATTGTTAGAGGATGAGAGGGATTGGGGTCGAAGGCCATTTCGCTTCTTAAATGCTTGGATCCTCCATCCCAAATTCGGGAGTCTTGTGAAGAAATCTTGGGAGGAGTCTGCATTTTCTGGATGGGTAGGTTTTGTTATAATGAATAAACTCAAGGTGCTTCGTGCAGATCTGAAGAAATGGAATGGATAGGTTTTTTGGGAATGTCACTTCTGCATTGAAGTTAGCAAAGGAGGAGCTTCATGCCATTGATTTAGTGGCTGAGTCGAGAAGTCTTGAGGAGAATGAGATTCGAAGAAGAAGAGAAGTGAGAAAAGAATTATGGACCCTATCTCGGCGAGAAGAATGGATGTGGAAGCAGAAGTCTAGGCTGAATTGTAACCTCCAAGGAGACAAAAACACAAGATTTTTTCATATTGTTGCTACAAGTAGACATAACAAAAATTTGCTGAACTTAATTGAAATAGATAGGGTGACGCATAAAGACCCATGTAGGGTTAAGCAGGAGGTATTTAACTACTTCAAAAGGAAATTTTCTAAAGAGTAGAAATCTAGGCCCAAGTTTAAAGGTCTTTTCAGAACCATTAAGCATGATGAAGTTTCGGATGGGTTAGTGGCCCCATTCTCTGAGAAGGATATATGGAGGGCTGTGAAGGAAAGTGACAGCAACAAGGCTCCAGGACCAGATGGGTTCAACAAGGCTTGCTTTTAGAAGTGCTGGAAGGTGTTTAAAAGTGATATCCTACAGTTTTTTAAGGAATTCTATGATAATGAGTGTTTAGCCAAAGTTATTAAGAGCTCTTTTATAACATTAATTCCTAAGAAAGATTGACCAAAGGGTATCTCAAACTATAGGCCAATCAGCCTTATTGGTTCTATTTATAAGATGTTATCTAAGGTCTTAGCATCAAGATTGAAAAAGGTGTTACCAAGGATAGTTGGGGAATCCTAAACTTCATTTGTTGGTGGACGGACCACTTCGGATGGAGTGTTAATCTCAAATGAAATTGTGGATTGGTGAAAGAAGAAAAAGCATAAGGGGTTCATTTTGAAACTGGATTTTGAAAAAGCATACGATTCGGTAAATTGGGAGTGTCTATTCGCCATGATGTCCAGCTTTGGTTTTCAAAACAAGTGGACCAGGTGGATAAAGGAATATGTGCAATCATCTAGAGTTTCAATCCTTGTGAATGGCTCACCCACGACTGAGTTTTGTCCAGAAAAAGGACTTAGACAAGGGGATCCATTGTTGCCATTTCTCTTTATTATTATGGCTGAAGGTCTTAATATGTTATTCCAAAGGGAAAAAGATTTGGGGCTAATCAAAGGTGTGGTTATAGGTACTAAGAGGATTAGTGTCACCCATCTGCAATTCGCAGATGACACTATTGTGTTCTGTGAGGCTGATGAGCATGAAATCTTGAATGTCAAAAGAATTTTAAGATGTTTTGAAATGCTATCTGGATTAAGGATTAACTTCCATACGAGTAAGGTTTGTGGGGTGGGAGCGCAAGAGGAGGTGGTGGTTGATTTCGCTGAGAAACTAAACTGTCAAGGTCAAAAGCTACCTTTTACATATCTTGGGTTACCACTGGGGGCCAACCCAAAAAAGAAGCTCACATAGTTGCCAGTGATCAATAAATTCAAAACTAAGTTAGCTTCTTGGAAAAGAGAGGTACTTTCTTTTGGGGGAAGGTTAACTATGATCAAGTCGGTGTTAACTTCATTACCAGTGTATTACCTATCTTTATTTGAAGTACCTATGGACGTAGCTAAGTTGCTTGATAAAATCCAAGCCAGGTTCTCGTGAGGAGATTACTAAAAAGAAGCTTTATATGGTGAGGTAGGAGGAGATTACTAAAGAGAAAGGGTGTGGAGGTTTGGGTATTAGAAGGTTGAGGGATGTTAATGAGTGTCTCCTAGCAAAATGGTGGTAGAGATATGGTAGTGATGAGCAAGCATTGTGGAAAGAGGTTGTGACTAGTAAGTACAGCAGCTCTGGTGGGAGATAGAGACCTTTTTTTGGTGGATGGAATTCAGTGCGCAAGAATCTGGGGTGATATTCTTAGTCTTGAACACAACAGTCCAAATTTATTTTACTTCTTCATGGAGAATTCTGTCATCATAGTTAGAAATGAGAGGAGAATTAGTTTTTGAGAGGATCATTGGTTATCTCATTGTAGCTTGAGGGATGAGTTTCCTAAGCTATTTGAGTTGTCTGATGACAAAGAGGCCAATCTTAAACAGATGATTGACAGAGAAACAGTTCAGATGGGTGGATTTTCAGGTTCATAAGAGGTCTGAGGGCTTGGAAGGAAGTTGAGGTGGGAAGACTTAGAGTATTCTTGTCTACACATGAGCCAATGTTATCAGAAATAGTTGACTCCTTAGTTTGGAAAGCCTCATCTTCAGGTGTGTTCATTGTAAAATCAGTGTATAGTAGTTATGATGCAGTACAGGGGTTGGAGGATGCTAGGTGGATTTGGTAGAATTTCTCTTCACCAAAAGTCCAATTTTTCGGATGGCTCGCTTGGAAGGGTAGAATCAAGTCAAGAGCTTTCCTTCAACATGTAGGGTGCCTCAATCAGGACGCTTCAACAGAGTGTGTGTTCTGTGGGTGTGATGTTGAAACAAATTGTCATTTGTTGTTACAGTGCATGTTTACTTGGAAAATTTGGTCAAACATTTTGTCCTGGTGGGGTATGTAGTGGGTGATTCCTGAGAATGCTAAAGGTGTGAAGGAGTGGTGGAGAGGGTTCAAATGGGGTAAGCTTGAAACCAAAATTTGGAATGTAATTCCATTTGCGGTGCTATGGTCAATTTGGACTCTGAGGAATGATTGTGTTTTTAATGGAAACAACACTACCCCGTGGAAGTTTGTGAACTAATCAAAACTAGAATTGCCCTATGGATAAAATCTAATACTAGTCTGTTGAATTACTCTGTTCATGATGTGGTTGAGAATTTGCAACAGGTGCGTAGGTGTTTGGGAGATAGCGGCATGTAACCTTGCTGTGGTCTGTCTTTGGCTTTGAATCTGATGCGGTGTGCTCCTGTTGTATACTGATATGGTAATTTTGGTTGGTCTAGCTTAGGGTAGCAGTAAGGTTCTGCTGCTTTTCTTTTTCTTTTATTTTAGTGTTGGTTCCTTACCAACCTAGTGGCTGTGCCTACTCATGGTCAAGCTTTTCCTCGGTGCCAACTTAGTTGGGATTAGGGTAGTTTGCTGTGTTACTGTTGCACCTCCCTTCTTTATTGATGTAATTTCGCTTGTTATGTCATCAATAAAGTCTTTTGTTGCTGATTAAAAAAAAAAGAAAAAAAAAATTGACTTGAAAATCACTAATTTGTTTGTTTGATTATCTTCTATTTTTAATGTTTTAAAAAAATAAAAACCATAAAAAGTTTAGAAACACCAAACAGTTTATTTATTTATGGGTAAATTATACTTACCTCCCCTGAGGTTTTTGACAATTACGGAAACCTCTTATGTGGTTTCAATAATTACACTAATCCCTTAATTTTTAAACTATTATCAAGATTCTCTTAATTTGTTAAGTTTGTACAAACAACGTTAGTTGGTTGTGAAAATGATCATATTACCCTTTGATTTGCACGTGAAAAGATGAAAACACCCATAAACCAAGAAGTCTAATTCATTATCAACATAGGTAAATTATACTTACCTCCCTTGAGGTTTTGCATATATATTATAAAAGACTCATACATATTTTAGCATTATTTATTAAGATTCTTAAATTTTATGCAATATTAAATAAAATTCTTAAATTGTTAAGACATTATTAAAACATTTAATGGGAAAAAAAAAACTCTTAATTTTCATTGATAAAGTACTTAAAAATAAATGAAAATTAGTGAACATTTTTCTCCAACTTTGTGTAGTAGGAGAGATCCAATATTTTTTATTTATTAGCTAAGGTCTCTCAACATTTTCACAAAAAAAATTCGACTCAGAGAAATTTTGCCCGACTCAAAATTTTTTTACCAGATTTAGAGAAATTTCAGCCTCAACTCAGAGAAATTTTCAAATTTCTTTGGTATGATCACAGAGAAATGAGTCGTGCAAAATTCCTCTGAGTTGAATTTTTTTTGTGAAAATATTGAGGGACCTTAACTACTATGAAAATATTGTGTGCCCTTTATTTTATGAAAACTTAATATCAAGGACCTTAAAAAAAATTCCCCATCAAACAACCTCATTGAAATTAATGTTAGATAACATCTTAATAATTTAATGTAAGACTTATTCCATACTACATAAACAACGTAAAATTTATCATTTTAAGTAATGCATTTATTATTTGAACTTTTTTTAAAGCTAAAATAAATGGATTTTTTTTCCCCAACAATTTGCATTACTTGTTTATTCATATGTAAAAAAAAAAAAAAAAAAAAAAAAAAAAAAAAAAAATTTGTTTTATCTTTTTTCAATCATATATTATTCTCAAATTTTAACTTTTATCTTTAAGTCATTACACTTCTAGTCGATGCATATTTAAAAAACAACAAGTTAATATTTCTTATATGATTAAAGAAAATTAAAAAATAAATATAAAAGTAAAAAAAAATATTACCTCCCTGAGGTTTCCAACAATTAAATCAAATCATTTATTATCAACATTAATCTAAACCTTACATGCTCTAAATTTAATTTACCCTATTAGATATATATGAAATTATTATTTATTTTTCATAACATTTTGAAACAAATTCTTGATTCTATTTTTTTTTCCACAACAATTTTTTGAACTTTTATAAACAAAAAATAAAATAAAAATTCAACCATTAATGAAGGTGAGAAATTAATTTTAAAATTTAATTTAATAAAAAATAGTTTAAATGAGGAAAATAAAAATGGAGAAATAGATTTTAAGTATCATACATAACAAATTAATAAGTATATTATTATTCTCAAATAATTTCTCCATTCAAGTAAAGATTAATTTTAATTTTAGGTATAATAAATGACAAATTGTTTGAATTGTTTATTTATCTCGAATGATTTCTTGATTCTTCATTTTCTATCAACTAAGTTTAATTTATTATGAGGCAATTAGATTTTTTTTTTTCTTACTTCTATATTTTTTTAACCATTTTTTAATCATGAAAAAAATATTAACCTGATTTTTTTTTTTAAATATGCATCGACTAGAACTTTAATGATTCAAAGATAAAAAATAAAAAAATAAAAAAATAAAAAAATAAAAAAAAATTAAAATTTAAGAATAATATATGACTAAGAAAAGATAAAATAATAATTTTTTACATATGAATAAACAAGTAATGCAAATTGTCAAGAAAAAATAAATCCATTTATTTCGACTTTAAAAATAAATTCAGATAATAAATGCATTATTTATAGTGATAAATTTTACAATGTTTATGTACTATAGAATGAGTCTTATATTAAATTATTATGATGTTACTGTTGGCTATTTTGACACTTCAAGGTTAGAAATGTAATTCAACCGTGCCAGTAAGGATTGAAAAAGTCCTTACAGATAATAAACGTCAATTCGTATCAAGCGATTGTGTTAAGGTTCTCTTAACCTCAATGAAGAGGATTTTATTGTGTGGTGTTGAAAACATGAACCAAAACTTGTAATTTAAATTCGTAACAAAATGGAAGGGACTGACTGGGTAAAAAATTGCAATTGATTAACTGAACAAACAATTACAACATGTTATCTT